ACCCACAAATCCTTGTTCGTTCTTTAGACCGAATTTGAGTTGTGACAATACTCTTTGTGAAACAAAAACAAAACTCTAAAACAACACTCTTTATGAAACGGAGAGAGTATATTGTTAACAACAATTCGGCCGAAACGTTCGATCCCAACATCCCTGTAAATATGTAACCAAATCATGTATTCTATCTTATTATGTAACAGTTGAATGTGTCAAAGTAGTTCACATGATTGCGATATGTGGCGAGTCAATCGATCAGATTTTGACCTGTGTCCTGATTAAATTAAAAAAATATATTTCAATTAAAAAAGAAAAATAATTTAAAATTCTAATTCTAAAATAAAAATAAAAATACAATTTGAAATTAAAAAATAAAAATTAATAAAAGGAGATATTTCAATTTAGAAAAAGAAAAAAAAACACAAATCTTAAAAAAACAAAAACAAATACAACCCACATCTACGCAAACACATAAAATCTCTCATAATTTTTCATCATACAAAATAATACTTTTTGAGATTCATTATATATGTATACTTTTTATGTTTTTTATTGTATTATTACTAAAACACTTTATACACGAAAATACAATTTGAAAAAAAAACCAAAGTTACTAAAAAAATATATTTCAATTTAGAAAAGAAAAATTAGCTAAAACACCAATCTTAAAATACAAAGAAAAGTATCATCCAAATTTATATAAACACATAAATCTCTCATGGTTTTTTACCAAACAAAATAATAATTTTTGAACATTATTTTTTATGTATAATAAACCTTCTTTTATTGTACTATTATTATTAAAATACTTTATATGTTATTCCAAATTTTTATCAATTATGATTCGTTCAGTATTCCAAAGTTTTATTCTTTAAGATTCATTAGCTGAATATTGTATACATCTAAATGTTTCTAGTATTCAATACTTAGACAATTCAAAAATAATTATATGCAATATTTGCAAGGTAGGATTACATGAAAATGAAATCATATATGCTATTGACGAGTTTAACAAAAATCATGTAAAAAAACTTTTGACACGAATCTTGAAAAGCATAACTTCTCTATAAAGCGAAGTAATCATATACGAGAGATGCATGTGGAGAAAAAGAGAAACTCTGTTTGCTTAAAAGGAGTTCATCAGGAGAAAATTAACATAATAGAATGACTCGAATTGCATACTCAAGTTTTTAATGCAGCGAAACAGAAAAAAAATAGGTGATAAAGTGTTGAACTACAAATAAAATAAGATTCATATTGTTAAGAATCTGCAACAGATTCTGTATTTTAAATATTTTAATTAAAAACAAACAGGAATCAAAATAAACAACTTTTAGATTTTGATTTTATATTTTAAATATATATTTTATCAATGATCTGATTTTACTTTTTATTTTTTTTTCAAATTTTTTTAATAAATTTAAAATTTTGTTATTATAAATCCGTGTACGCACGGACACTAAGATCACAAAATTCAGAGTTTTGAACAAAGAGAAATGAACAAATTCAAAATTATTAGAATCAATGATTTTGAGCTTTCTATCTTCTAATCAAACCACTCCACATGGACACAGTGGATTGGAAACGCATCAATCGACTTCTATAGTTTATACATGTCTCTTCTTCTCACAGTCCTCTCTGGCAAGTTTTTCTTCTCTTCTTACCAATGTGATCTAACTTTCATGGCAAAAAAAGAATAAAAAAAATTAACAATCTGTGCATCGGACAACCATAAGCTTTTAAACTCTTGGTTTGGAGATGCAGCGATAACATTCTTGAGAATTTTGGAAAGGGAAGCCGAGATAAAGCCAAGTGCAGAGAATCGAACAAAAAAGCTATGGAGTCACCAACATCGCAAATTGGAAGCTAGATAACACTCTTAAGTTGAAAAAATGATAGATTTGGCTGCAAAGCCATGATGATGGAGTAGATTAAAATAGTTGAATGATAGCACATAAGCTTCAAGATATCAATCTCAATGTCTTTGGATATACGCACCAAATATATTAAGGATTTTGTTGGATAATACACATCAACAAGATGATTTTTTTAGAAAAAGATTTTGATACAAAATAGATAAGTTTTGCAAGAGAGTACAAGGGGGGTTTAAAAAGAGAATAGAAGAAGAAAGAAAAGAAAAAAACAAGTTTTAGAACAAGCTCCTTGACTAGTCTTGAAAATAACCAAGAAATTAAACAAGTTTGAATATAAAAGCGAGACCCTTGATCTTCCTTAATCATGGCTTCAAAACGAGCTGGTCTTTGGGTCTTGACAAATGGATGGTTGAAAGTGAAATATAAGTCTCATTAAAAACCTTTATCTGGAAAATCCGTTGGGATAAAACCAAAATTTAGGAAAAAAGAGTGCAAATGATTCACGTGTCCATTTGTTGATGTTCTTTGAACTTGCATCAAAACCAAAGTAGTTTGAATAACATCATCTCCAGCATTGTTCAAATGATTAAGCATCCCTTCAATAGTTTGGTTGAATAGCTTATAGTCCTAGCATGAATTATTGGTTCAGCTGGTTCAGCTATAGTATCCTAGGCTACAAGCTCAGGTCCTTAAGGTTTAAGCTCAGGTTCATGCTTTGGTTTAAGCTCCAAGACTTTAGTGTTGTCCATGATCATATCAAAACTTAGAGCTGACACTAAAACGGAGCAACACAAGCTTAAAAAGTCTTAATGTGCATATTCATTCTACCAAGATCCACTCAATGACGGCTAGCACATAACGCAACAACAATTCGACCCAAAAGCCTTACTATCTCCTTAGACGGCAAGGAAAGTGACACCACCCCAAATCAGTTTTACTACTGAGTTCTCAACATCAACAAAGCAAACAAGACCAGATGTAACTAACAACGAAAAAAGCCGAACAATCTGGATACCTAAACGAAACCCTAACAATCAGATTGATCTGTTCTTACTTCTTCATTCATATTTTGTTTTGCTTTTTCATCATTAATGGTGAATTTTGATTTACTTAACACAATTTAGTGATATAAGTTCATTTTACATAAATATCCAAAAATACTACTCAGATAAGTTTTTGTTCCAAAAATATCATCATTAGTTTTATTTTTCCAAAAATCTATCATAAAAACATTTTTTACCATAAACACTAAAAATATTTTTTAAGGATTTATAATTTAAATTTTTGGATTTAGTGTTTTAGGTTTATGGTTTGAAAATGCATTTTATATAGTTCCTATATAATTTGTTTTAAGATTAAAGTTTAGTTGTGATTATTAAGGTTTAATTTTAGTTTTATGGTATTTTTAGAAAATAAAACTAATGATAATATTTTGTGGTACTACAGAGTTGCTCTTTGTTTTATTGACTTAAGATATGAATTCGTTTTCTGTAATGTGCGTATCTTTGATGTACTTCTTTTTTTTCTTTTGGACAATGATGTACTTCGCATGTCTCTATTTTTCATGCAGATGAATGAAGATGGACTGAAGCTACCAGAGAATTTTTACCTTGCGCTTTTGATTGTCATCCTATTTGTTATAGGATGGGCAATCATACAATGGTGCGTTGTGAACCGGGAAGGCGGCTTACCAGTTTCACCAGCGCTACAGGAAATAGAAATGACATGAAAATGCTTTTTAGTTCCTATATAATTTTACTAATATGCATTTAAGTCACTATATCAAGAAATTGGTCTCTTTTTTTTTTTTTTTTTTTTTTTTGTTACTCGTGATTATGTAAGCTCAAAAAAAACCATCCTTGTAAGTTGTAACGGTATAATTTAAGTCACTATATCAAGACAACTGAACTCAAACAATCTTTTAAAAATGGGTTTACAAAATTAACGGGAAGATATAACAAAAAAAAGAAAGAAAAAGAGAGTTCCTAATCATCATTCTTTCCTCTCTCTCTCTCTCTCTTGTTAAAAATTAGTACTACATGCACACAAACATTAAACAAACTCTTACTTAATTTAAACTTGTTTTAAATTAAAATCATATAATTAAAAAAATTATATCATCTAGAAGATTTCATTTAGTCCTTTACTCATGAAGTTAGATGTTCAAGAATTACAATAAATGGAGTTAGTGGCAGCCAAAAGAGCAGCACCAAGCCCATTCACGTCCTTAGTATGTTTAATCGCAATTAATGTAACTTAAAAGATGGCCAAGAAGCTCGACTAGAGCATCTTGCATGATATTGTGGGTACTTCTCGTACAATGCACCATCCATAGCCACAATAGTTCTTTGACATGAAGCCAGATCTTTTGGTCTCTCTCTCTCAATCTTCTCCAGAATTGCCACTATACCAACTCCTGCTAGTTTCCCTCCACGTTGAACCACTGTGTTACACAGTTCCACCACTCTACACCTTTTCTTCAGATTCTTGTAAAAGTAAACAACTTTTAAAATCTTTGTAGTTAAGTCAGTTGAAATGAATGGCAATGGAATTTCATGAGTAAAATATTAAAAACAATATCTAAGATATATTGCAAAGATTTTAGAATCCACACACATAGATTTTTAGATATATACAGAAGATTATAAAACATATAGAGAATTGCTTTTAAATATATGATTAAAATAACACCTCCTAAGTCACTTTTAAACTCATGTAAGACCTCATCAATTCCCCGAAGAGAATCAGCCTAACCATCCATAAATACCATTCTATCATCCGCAAAACTTAGATGTGTTATAGATAGTTCCCGACACATAGAATGAAAGCTTATTAGAAGTCTTTTTCAGGAGAAGAGAACGAACACTGAAGGTGATAACAAATAAATACCATCGTATCATCCGCAATCTTGTCTAAGACCACCCCATCTTGTAAAGAACCACTCAAGCTCACCGTTGACAAAAACTGTGAAGGAAGCCAAAGTTTTACTTGTTGCAATACTTAATTAATAGACATAGTATTATTAAATAAATTCTTTTATTTATATCTATTTAAATAATAAAATATAATTAGTTATATAATTAAATAATATAAAATACTGATTCTGTAAATAATTTATTTAAAACACATTTTTGCTTAATGAAGATTTTTGTATTTTCTGTAAAAAAACGTAATTCAGCAGATCTTTTATATTTTTTCGCTATTGGCATAATTCTTTGGAATGCCTATGAAAGCCAATGTACACAAACGAACCGCATAATGTACACAAACAAACCGCACCAAGTCTTTTTACTCATCAAGTAAATGTTCAAGTACTAGTAAATGGAGTTAGTGGCGGCCAAAAGAGCAGCACCAAGCCCAGACACGTCTTTAGTATGTTTAATCGCAACGTGACTTGAAAGGTGATGTCCAAGAAGCTCAACTAGAGCATCTTGCATATACCGTCGATACTGTGGATACTTCTCATACAATGCACCGTCCATAGCAACAACGGTTCTTTGACCTGAAGCCATTCTATCGGTGTCTTTCTCAATCTTCTCAAGAATTGCCACTATACCAGCTCCTGCTAGCCGCCCTCCGCGTTGAACCACCGTGTCACATACTTCCACCACTCTCCTCCTCGCCTTCAGATTCGCCTCTACCTGTTTGCAATATCTCGATAAAACTATCCAAATGGATGTGATATTTGACCTTGTATATATATATATATATATTAACTTACCTCTAAAAAGTTGTGAAGGAATGATCCAACAGTCACAAGATCATCTGTATTGTCTTCTTGCATTTTGCATAGATCCTCCGTCCTGTATACAAAATTTTAATTGAAATGTGCTTTATGACCATATTGGTTTTCGTGGTTTATAAACCGAACAGCCCGAAATCGCAAGCAAACTAAACTGAAACAGATTTTAGTGTATTTGATTTAAATTAACCCGCATAAACCGAAATGCTCTGAAAATTTTCAGTTTGTTTTGCTGATATAAAAAACCAAAAGAAATTCAAACCGAAATTGCATCAAACAAACTCAACAAAACCGAATAACAAATGGTTCTCTTGGTTTAGAAACCTAACAAATCGAAATCGCAACCAAACTAAAATTGAAATTAAACAGAAACCGATTCTAGTGTAAATGATTCAAATCAAACCTTTTAACATTTTTTTAGTTTTGTTGATCTAAAACCAAAAAAAAAGTACTGAACAAAACCAAAACGTAAACCGAACTCACAACCAAAGTAAAATTTAAACTAACCGAAACAGATTCTAGTGTAACGATTCAAAATAAATTGCACAAACCGAAATCGTCCAAAACGTAAACAAAGACTGAGCCGAAAGTAAACCAAGCCGTAAACCTAAACCGAACTCCCCATATCTGGAGATGGAGAAAAATAGAGAAAGTACCTGAGTGCAAAAGGAGTGGATAGTTTGACAGGAACGAATTGTCCAAACAAGTCACTAGTTTCACACATTTGGAGCAAAACCCTCCTTACAATTTCACCAAGATACATCCCTGAGATCATCTTCTCATATAACTTGATCCACACCCAAACAGTAAAGAAGCAGTATAAGAACTGGTGACACTGACACCAATCACACCATACAGCAACAAAACAAAAAATATGTTGTTGTTAAGAAAAAGGATAAAATTCTACTTACATGTTCACCAGGATTCAAGCTTTCCTCATCCATCTCTTGGTCAAAAATGGTTCTTGGAAGAATCTTAGAGAAACCTCCCCACTCTGTGTTAATGATCTGATTCCAAATCAAAACAGTTTAAGCATGGGAACAACAACAAGCCAATGAATATATATATAAATCAATATAACTAATACCGTTGTTCCAGAAGAAAATTTGCTTTGGAGTTTAGGAATTGCATTCTTCTGCTCTACATAACAAGCGTTTGTCCCAGTGCCAAGAATCACACCGACCATCACATCCTCGTCCCAATACCTAGCTCCAGCTAATGTTCCAACTCCATCATTTACCTTAAACACACAAACATGAACAAACTTTCAATCTCCACAAGACAAGAGTTTCCATCACAATAGTTTTAATTTAAAACAGGAAACATACAAGAGCAGAAACTCGCATATCGAGTCTATGTGCTTCCATAGCTTTATTTAAACAAGCAACCACGTTTTTTCCTTCCTGCAAACAAACATTCTAAGGGTTTAGTACAATCTAGAAACCACATAGAGAAACTTGGGGAAAACATATGAACTCACCATTCCAGAAACATTAAAGCCTTTAGTCCACTTGATTAGTGTCCCTGAATCAATGGAGGTTTGCTTCACAGGGAAAGAGAAAGTAAACCCAATCTCCCTTTTCCTCCCTTGTTCCAAACGAAACCGCCCCGGTTTCTCTTTTGCAACAAAGTCTGCAAGCTTTGAAGCAATGAACCCAAAGAGTTCCTGAAAAAAAAAAACATTCAATCAAGAATCACCCAATTAAAAACAATTCACTCACTCATTGATAGTACTGAAGGATTTGAGTTTCTTTTGAGTCATTACCTCACTTGTACCAACCATAAGCTCATGAGGTATAGAAAACTGCTCAGATTCGTTAGCTACGACACGCTCTTCCTTTCCTCCCAGTTGAACACTACGCACCCGAAAATTCGTACCTCCTAAATCCAATGCATAGAACAAACCTTCCTCGTTCCTGTAATCCATTAATGTAATTAAGATCCTAATAACATCGATTCTTTTCTTGCTGAATCTACTTCATATAAGCTCTACTTAGTTTCGTACCACAGTAAAAACCACAACTTTCTATGATGTTTATAACACAAAGCACAATGTAACTAGAGGAAAGAAAGGAAAATTACTCACAAGATCCTAAGAAGATCAATTTTTTTCCGAATAAGGTCCTGATTAGTTTCGTTCCACAGTAAAAACCAAAAGCTTCTGCCATCTTTATATTCACAAAGCACGATGTAATTAGAGGAAAGAAAGGAAAATTACCCAGAAGATAACAGGGTCTACTTAGTTTCGTTCCACAGTAAAAACTCAAACTTTTGATAAGAGGAAAGAAAAGAAAACTACCCAGAATATCCTATAGAGATCAATTTCAAATTTTGTCTACTTTAGTTCCGTTCCACAGTAAAAAACTCAATCTTTTAATCATCTTTTTAGATCACAAAGCACAATGTAATTAGAGGAAAGAAAGGAAAGTTACCAAGAAGATCAAATTTTTCTTGAAGAAGGTCTACTTATTAAAAATTCAAACTTTCAATCATCTTTAGATCACAGAGTGTAATGGTGAGATTAGAGGAAAGAAAATGAGAAATACCCAGAAGGCAAAGCGTCGACAAAAGTCAAGATCATATCAAGATCTCCACCTCCTTCGACAGCTAGACCGGCTCGCATGTCATCGGAAATGGCATCGGCAACGTTGCGTAGGAACGGTATAGGAGTGGCACAGTCTTTCTGGAACTTGGTCAGTACAGAACACGTCGAAGTCGGCTCAGATCGGACGGCGGACATTACGGTGTAATTTGAACGGCGAGATGATGAGAAGGTGAGAGATCTAACGGTTGGGGTAATAACAACAACAGGGGAAGCAAACATGATGAGTGACATTGTCCGAGTTTTGGTTCCGATTTTGTAAAGGAAGATAAAATTCAAAGTCAACCCTTTGTTGTCTAGTTGCTCTACTTGCTTCTTTACTTATTTGATTATTTCTTCTCTCCTGTTGGCTTTTCAGGAGAATGAGCGGTTTTATAACAACCAGTTTTAGACCATTGATACAACTCTCATAAACCATGGGCTTTTTAATTACGCTTATGTTTTTGTTTTTCTATATTCTTAATTATTTTATTATTTCTTTTAACCGAAACAATTTCTTCTTCTTCAAAACAAATTCCCTTCAAGAACACTACTTCAAAAATATCAAATCTCTTCCTATGTTTTATTTTCTTGATTTGATCCAATTGGTGGTTTTCCCCCTTTGATTCCTGGATTAATTTGGGGTGAGTTGGTTTATTTTTAATTTATCTATGTTTTGGTTTGATTTTTATTTCCACGAGAGAATAAGAAATTTGGTTTTCCTTAAAACCATAATTTCAGTATAAACTCCATTAGCTTCCTTTCCAAATTAATGATGCATTCATTGTAAAACAAATTTCAATTTCATAATTTTAATTATAAGAGATTGACCAATTTAATATTGGTGAAAACATGTCCAATGAATTAACGTTTTCGTCATCATGTGATCTGTGAATTTTATGAAATTTGATTTTTCGCTTTTAATATTTGTATTGTGGTCTAAAGCTTGCAGAGTTTGAATATGAGAATTATTTCCTCATAAAACCCTTTATTGTGGAGAATTCATGGCCGATTGATGAGTGCTCTTATCAAGTTTCAGTGTCTTTGATGGATTCTGTCTTCTGACGAATCCCCGACAGCAAGCTACCAAATCTACTTGAAAAATTTAATGAAACTATCAGAAATATCTTTTTTTTTTTGTTAACATCTGATTTTCATTAACTGAAACTGATCCTTAGCAATAGCAAACATAGCAGCTGCAAAGTTTAAGCAAGAAATAAATTGAAAAAATAGCTAATATTAGAGAGTGACAAGAGTTCTAATATCATACAGAAAGCTTACAATCTCATACATATTCAACCCCAAATATGGGGTAATCATGAAGACTTCAACGTCCAAAACCGAGGACATATTAACACAGTTACGGGTAGAAATGATTAGAACTTGTAATATTTGCTTCAGGAATGATTAGAAGTCTTCATTGAGCTTAGATCAAAACAAGATGAAATTCTAAAAATGGTCAGCAAAAGGACACTGGAGTGTGTGACAATGAATTCATCCTCCGAATGTCGGAAACTCTTTAACATTATAAATTCTGCAAAATAACAAAATCTACCTAAAAAAGCACTGGAGAGATCAAACAGATCCATGATCATAAGAAAGTAAACTTGACTATGAATTTTTTAACAAAGTCAAGACAAACAATATAAGAAGTTAAAAAAAAAACAAACACTGCTTTTGGAAACTCTATAAAAGAGAAGCAGCTGTGACGATCACAAGTTCTCCAAAGTATCAAAGCCTCATACTAAGGTAATGGTAGGCAAATAAACAGTCTAATGGCCACAAACTGAAGCAAGTGAGTTCTAACAACAGAAATGTTCCATATAACTATAAAACAAGGCAAATTCCAGTCCATAACTGTTAGTTCAAGGAAGTTATAGATTCGTATAAGCTGGAGATTTGTAGAACAACTGGAAACTATATCACACACACATGGTGCAAAGATCTGGGTTGTTGTGGCAACGACTTTCATGAAGATCAAGCAAGATATCTAATTTTTATATATGAGGTCCTAAGAAGATATGGTAAGTAAGAAGCTTCGTGGAAGATGCAGCTACAAAGTAGTATATATAGGAAGTTGAGATATCGTGCTAAGGTTAGCCGAAAACAGGTGAGCAGAATCCTGAGAGAGAGTTTTCTAGGTTTTAGGTGCTGAGAGAAAACATATATGTTTCTGTGTTTAGTAAATTAGGAAATGATCAGTGTCAAGTTGCAGAAGGAACGTTGTGTAATCCTGACTAAACAAGTCTGTAAAGATTGTTTAAGAGATTCTTAATCAAAGGAGTTTTGGTATTTGTGTATTGAAGTGTTTCATTCATCTGCAACACAACCTTCATGAATCCTTAGTTTTACATTTGGTATCATAGAGAGTCACCTATTAGATCAACTGATCTAATCAACATGTCGAGATTCTGTGGAAATCATGGAAACTATGAACGAGCTCGTTGCGGTTCAAAACCAGTAATACTGGATGCTGGAAACTTTGGTCCTTAGAAAGCTGGGATAAGACACATCATTTGAGGCATAGATAAAGATGCATACACAGCTGTCGTAGAAGGATGGGAAGCACCTACAATCCTGGTTGAATAAAAATCAGAAGACAAGACACTACCATCTCTAACAACAATGAAACTTAAACCAAGAAACAGATGGACCAAAGCTGATAATAATGTATCAAAATTCAACTCCAAAGCTATGTCAACCATATCTGCTACAGTTGATCTTGATCAATTCAAAATTATTAAAGGATGTCAGTCTGCTAAAGACGCATAGGACACATTGGTAAATCACTTTGAAGGAGATAAAGTGTTAGAAGACCTCGCATAGATCATCTTGCATCACAATTTGAAAATCTCATAATAACTAAAGACAAATCTATTGCAAGTTTTACTGGAAAAATAGTATAATAACCAATGAAGCATCTTCGTGGGAAAGAAATACAAAGAAAAGAAGCTAATGAAGAAGTTACTTAGATGTCTTCCTCCCAAGTATGCTGCTTATAAAGTTGTTCTAAACTACTCAATGAACATTGATGATATGAAGTTTGATCGTCTCTGTGGAATTCTTAAAGCTGAAGAAATGGAATCTGCCGTTGAAGAGCCTACTGTTCAGAAGGAAATAGATTTTACTGCTGAAAGTGAAAGTGTCAGAGTCTAACAGATTGAAGAGAATCTGAGTTTCGTGGCCAGAAATTTCAACAAGATGCTAAAACGTGTTGAAAATGGACAGAACAGACCTTTCATGATAGCTCAAAGGGGTGATACAGATAGAGGACAGAGATATGATGGTGAACATTCAGGAAAGAAAAAAGTTCTACAGTGTCATAAGTGTGAAGGCTTTGTCCATTTCAAAAATGAATGTCCTTTAGCCAAGAGAAAGGATTTCAAATGCAAAGGATTTCTTGCTTGAATGGCGCGGTTTTGGACACACTAAAATGGAATGTCCCAGTGTTTCAAGAAACAAAGAAAAGTCCTTAGTAGTCTTCAGTGATAGTAAATCAGAGACTGATGGTGAAGTAAGATCTGATTTGACACAAGAATACAATGATCTGTACAACAAGAATGTTGCCCTGAGTAATGAGGATTTGCAACTCATCAAGAAGATGGCCATGATGAAAGCGCAACTGAATATTCTCAAGTGCGAGAAAGATGGATCTTCAGGCAAAATATATACTATTTCAAAGGACTCTACGGGAGAAACTGAACATCTAAAGAATGAATTAGAATGTGAGAAGGAAAAGAACAGACCTGGAGATCAATGTCAAACGTATCATGACAGCTTATGCTAAGGAAGAAGCAAAGACAAGGAACTTTCTTCAGGAGTTGAATGATAAGCACAAAAGGATACAAATACTAAATATACATACCAAAGACTTGGACAAAATTCTGTCCATGGGACAAACACCTAAGAGTAATTGGGCTTTAAAATTTAATGAGCTCTTGGCATGACGCAAAGTGCCCCCAGTATCCTGTCAAACTTCACTGCAGGATCTTCAACTACATCTATATAAAATGGAGGTTCCCTTATGTATGAGAAGAAGGTATAAAGGCAAATCCAACAAAACTTAAACATGATGCCCCGGTTAAGAGATCCAAACAAAAAACTAAGAGGAGATGTCATCAATGTAAAAGACAAGGACATTTGAGAAAAGAGTGTGAAAAACTGATACGCAGAAACATATTCATCCAAACTTAGAGAAGGAGAAAATGCTTTCCAGAACCAAGCTGCTTTGGAAAAGTCTAGGTGGCTAAAAAAGACCTTGTTGTGAACCTTTAGCTCATGGTAAACAAACTGAAAAACTAGTCTGCAATCACTCTCTGGTCAATCTACAAAACTTATATGATGTATGGGCATCAGAAAAGGAATCAATCTTGAGAAATGTCCCTTACATGACTGTTGCCAATCAAAACTCAGTTGTATTTCAATAGTGGCTGCTCACAACATATGAGAGATGCCAGAATGTTCTTGACACTTATTCCTGTGTCAAAGGAGGTAAAATTACTTTTGGAGATGATGGTTAAGGAAAAATCAGAGGAGTAGGCAACATGAAAGGGAGGATAAGCCTGAATTGATCAATGTGTACCATGTTGAAGGAGTAAAGGCTAATCTGATTAGCATAAGTTAATTATGTGAGAAAGGACTTAAAGTCATGTTCACTCGTGTGGACTGCCAAGCGATTGATGAAAATAGAGCAGTCGTTCTATTTAGAATAAGGTCAGGTAACAACTGCTATATGTGGAGTCAAAATGGATAATTTTTAATAGTTCGAGAGTTTCAACTTGATATATAGCACATGAGACTAGGATATTTGAATGTTCATGGTCTGAGAAAAATCGTCAAGGCAGAAATTGTGAGATGAAATACCTAAACTAGAAGCGCCAATTGGCACAATGTGTGAAGCCTGCAGCAAGGAAAATCAAATAAAGATTCAACACACACAGCTTAGTGAAATCAGAACAAAGAAGATTATTGAGCTGATACATATGGATTTAATGGGCCCTATAAAAACTGAAAGTATTTCTGGATGTAAGTACATATTTGCACTGGTAGATGATTTCTCGCAGTTCACTTGGTCAGATTCTTAAGATAAAAGTCTGAAGCAGTTGAGAGTTTTAAGATCTTAGCTACAACCCAAAATTGAAAAGGGGAACATAGTGCAGATCAGAAGGGACCATGAAGGTGAACTTCAGAATACAATGTTTGAAATATTCTGTAACAGCCAAGAGATCAGGCATCAATACTCAGCTCCTAGAACTTCACAACAAAACAGAGTAGTGGAGATAAAAAATCATACATTATAGAAAATGGCTAGAGTGATGCTTCATGGAAACAAAGTATCAACAAGGTCTTGGGCTGAAGCAATCAACACTACATGCTCCATCATCAATAGATTTTATGTCAAGCCTGGT